GCTTCCTCTGAAAGGGACAAGCCTGCTAAAAGAGATACCTGCATAGACACAGAAGGGCGGGAGAGCAGCCTCTCCCCAGTGCAGAAATTGCTCTGATTTCATTGTTTTCTCTTTGGGAGGCACTCATTGCTTTGTGGAATTGTTAGCTATTGTTGGATAAATTACTTCTAGGGAGTGACAAGGTAGATTTGAAAGAACTAGTGACTCCCTACAATAGCCCTCCCTCTCCATATCCCCACCTCTGGTCTGCACCTTGGGATACTTTTCATAGCAGTCTGATACTCTGCTATGGCAGTTGGCCTTAGGACTTTTCATTTCTATAGCTGGCTGAACAACCAAGTCCCTCCAGTTTCTGGCCTTTTGATGCCATTTTCTGGTTTTGTGTTGCCTCCATCCCAAATTTTCTACTCTTAGCCTCCATCAAGAAAGGATTGCTACATAAGAAAAAAGTCAAGAAGATTGCCAGAAAGACTGAAGTCAGGATAATACAGCTCAGATCTGCACACACCAAAGTAAAGGCAAGGAGAATACATGTGGTCCCTCACATCTCAGTTACAACATAATAAGAAACCCTCAGAAAGAGATGGGAGAAAGAAGCCGAGAAAGAAAATGCCATGCCTGCAAATAGAAATATATTTGCAATTTTGACCATTTTATGGGCTCACTGCTCATAAATTGTTAACGGAGGTGAGATGTTTGGAGGTTGACATTTGGGACAGTGATTCTGCTATTCCTGTGGATCCCCCACCAAGTGAAATTAATTTGGAGGCAATTTAAAAGGTTAACCAGGAACTTATTTGATAACAGAGTGAAACTTTAGTGAAAATCCTTGTCCTGTGTCTATGGACAGCTAAGAATTTACCCACAAAAATCTCTAATACTTAAATGACAGAGTTAACCTATGTACAAAGCCCCAATTTAAAATGACCTGAACCTCAAGGTTTTCACTGCTGTAGTAGTCTCCAATTTCAGCTTTTATTTGTTTCTGTATTTGCAAAGCTTCCCAGGATTGGTACCTCAGTTTGCTTGCAACTGTTCCTTGATCAAATATAAAAATCTGGACTTTTTCATAATTCTTGTAGGGATTTAGATAATGTTAATAAGGTAAGAATTAGAAATAAATGAAGCATCATGATTAAATACTAAAACCAAAGAAGTTAAAGTGCAATGAAATTAAGTTTTAATTTGCAAAATTTATTTACAAATCATTCATAATTATTGAATCATTTTCTAAAAGCAACATCAATAAAACTGTGAACTAAGATATCACTTTCTTCTGATTAGATCAGAAGAACTTTTCCTTAGTGTTTCACAGTGAATGTTGAGAATGACTGCAGAGTTCCAAACGTGCACATGTTCTAAATTCAATCTCTATTCAGGAAACCTTGCCTCCTTCACTGCCACACAATATTCCTAAAAATACCAACCTTGAACCAGATAGGTAGGAGGATAGCAATATACTAGAGTTATCACAGCACTGGAATCTGGACATCTCATTTGTCACATTTCTAGGAAATTTTGTACAAAAGAAAAATCAAATACAGAGCTACTTAATGTCAATACCATATTATCTTCAAAGCTTCTAGAAATTTTACCAAAGTTCATGAATTTACTTTGTCAAATAGGTAGATTTTATTACCAATTCATACCTCATGGTGATTATTGAGACATTTGTGAATGTATATCATTTAGAAAAGAGATGTCTGAATTTTCGGAACTGAAGTTTACCTCGAAGTAGAAATCACTTGTAATGCATTTTAAACAAAAAACACTTTTATTTAATTTTATGCATAATGAGTTAGCATTCCTGTGTTTTCCTGCTCTGTGATGGATAAATAAGTCTCTGTGCCCATAACCATGATGCTCAAGTTGTGCTATGATTTGCTATGTAGCAAGATTTGCCATGGAGGAGGGATGTTCTCTCTGCCTTCACCATTGCTGTAACAGGTAAGCAATTAAGTCATTTTTCCAAGGTGACAGAGTCAGTAGGTTTTGAGAGTAAAATCTGAATTCAGGTCTTCTTTCTCTCTAAAACAGCAGGGATTTCACTTCTAAAAAATGTATATTTCCATCTTTGATATCCAACACAGAAGAACAAGCAGGAATTAGACATTCTGTTCCACTGACCTTTGTGGCCTTTATTAACTTCACACTAACTTGATTACTGTACTTTTTAAAAATAATTTATGAAATTATATAATGTCATCTCATTTAATTAAATATTTTTAGCTATTCTAGTAATTTTGCTGATCCATATAAAAATCAGAAGTATATTGTCAACTTTAGAGAGAAATTGAGAAATTTTACTGTATTGAATTTATTGATCAATTTGAGAAGAATTGGCATTGAAACATTATTGAATTTCCCTGATTATATGTAAAGGTATTTCTCTAACTGTACTTATTTATATAAAGATATCTAAGTGTACTTATGTCCTTTTTAATTGCTGACATCAATATTTTTCATTTCATATAGCTATCCTGCATATATTTTGTGAATTTTGTCCCAAAGCATTTCAGTGTTTTTAATGGTATATTTATAAGTGATAATTTTATCTAATTTTATTTGTATGTGTTCATTTCTAGTGTCTAAAAATGCAATTTATCTTTAATTGACTAGGGTTATTTTGGATTTATTACACAAGCATTTTTTTTTGAGACGGCAATTTAATAACATGTTGAAGAAGACATAATACTACAATAAAAGGTAGCTCTTTACATTGGATTCTACAATACATGTAGATGTACAATCATATTTTAATATTATGATTGATTCACCAGACATGGCTATAAATATTTTCCTTGCCTATACAATTTTTCTAATTATATTTCAATAGCTACACACTATGTTAATATAAATCTATAATTTTAACTATGACATCACTTTAAGATTAAATATCTTAATCTTAAACATGGTGATCATGTTTTTTTTCTTTTTTTCCTTTATTTAAATATAATATTGTAAATATAGGTTTACAATACTATATATAATTTAGGGGACTAGAGTCACACCTCCTCAGACAAGTGTGACTACACCACACTCAATATCAAAGTGTCCATTGTCATTTACCATAGACCATTGGGCCAAATCCCCATTTTGTTCCTATCCCCCCATCCCTCCCATTCTGGTGGCCTCAGGCCTGCAGTTGTCTTGCTAGGGTTTGTTTTGGTTTAGTTTTATGAGTGGCAGGACACACGCCAATGCTAACAGAAGACAATAGGAGAATTAACCAAATAACAAAACTTCATGGTTACATTAAAATTTTAAAATATTTAAATTAAAACATTGAAATTGGGAGCTTTAAGATTTATGATCTTAAATGATGAAAATAGGGACATAATTAAAAAGTGTCCCTTCATTGCTATTTGAATTTAAGTGTGATGAGGGCATTGTGCTTATCTTGTTGATATTCTTTATGTTTTTATCACTTAGAGACATTTGATAAAATATTTACAGATAAATTATTTGATCCCTAGGCACAGTTTTAAAATATTGGAAGAGGGATGGAGACAGGGAAAGTGGGTGACATAAATGGACATAAATAAAATGAGATAGGCCTGAGTTGATCATTAAGCTGGTTGGTGAGTACCTGCAAATTAATTAGAATATTACCTTCTATTTTAGAATATTTTTGAAATTTTCTATAATAAAAACTAAATGAATAAAGACAAAAAATGATGTATGATGTTGACTCTAAGAACCTCAAATAGGGGCCTCCCTGGTGACACAAGGGATTAAGCACCTAACTATGAAGCAATCCACAGCCTCTGCAATGAGTTCAATCCCCGGCTGGCTGGCCAGGGAGCTACCCACATGGCGAGGAAAACCTCTCCTGCCTCGCCCACTGCTCCCCTCAGCAGTGTATTTCAGTCAGCCTGCCTGTTCTGTTCCCCACTCTGTCTCTGGTGAATCTTCTCACCCCCCTGCACCTCTGGCCTGTACCCCAGCTCTTGTATGCATAAATTAATAAATATTTTTTGAAAAAGAACCTCAAATAAAACCATGGACATGCCCACTAGTGTTAGTTTATGGAGAAGGCACATAGAGCAGAGAGACATGTAAAGAAAAAACTGTGCTGACTTCTTGGCACTGGACATTGGACTTGCACCAGGGACTTGGGGAACATGGAAGGAGACAGTTAGAAGGACATAGAAGAGATGAGAGACATGTGGGAGGTTGACAATGGCAGCCTTTATTGTGACTTGTTCTTAGAGATTTCTCCTTTCCTTCCAGACTTGCCTGGCCCCTTCTGCCCATTTCCTATGGTCCCCACCAGAAGATGTCCTAGATTTGTGGCAAGCTTTTGGACCTCAGTGGCCCTGCTTTGGGCCAAACTTGTTTGGCTGGGCATTGACCCACGAGGGGATGGGTAATTTGGGGTATTTCATTGGGAAGCTATTTTAACTATATTCTTTCTTTTCTCTCTATTACAAACTAATTGTATTAAAGTTCTTTTCTATTGAAGTATTTATGCACTAAAAGTATATTTGTCTTTATGTGGCTGATGTCAGAACCCATTTGGAGAGTTTCCAGGTCCTGGGGCGCTCCTTATTGTACCTACTAACAGTTCCCAGGATGGAGGATGTTCACCAGGAAGTGGGTATATGGCTGGGGCCATTTGCACACTGCTTGGCTTAACTCCACAGAAAAAAATCTCTTCCTCTGCCAAAAATGTTACTTCCATACCCAGTGTTTACTGTGGTCACAAGAGAATTAGGAATCAGGACCACTGTGGGAAATGGTGGACGAGCACACATGGGCTCACCTGGCACCTGAGAACAGAGAGAATGTGGAGGTTGTGGATGGAAAGCCCAGGTCATCATTTTCAGTGACAGCCTTTCTTTGGACCTTGGTTTATGGCTGAGAAGAGTTCAAGAAAGTGAGTGAGGGCACTACCGTTTGGAACATTCAGAGCATAAGCAGAACAGCTTTGGAAGAGTTATATTAAGTCACAATGACCCCGTTTCACTACTGGTTTCTACAACGACAGAGAGAAACAATCTCCTCCAATGGATTTTCAGGATATGGAGTTCCTGACACATGAGCCTATAATACTTAGTCCCCCCTACAACCCACTGCCATGAAATTCACTCAAGAATTAATCTAACAGGAAATGCACTAGGTAAGTGTTACCTGATGGGAGCCCATGAGAATCTTTTTTCAAGCTGAGCAATCCTTTCCTAAGAACAATTTCCACCCTCACTGCCCCTCCTCCCCATTTATCTGCTTGGTCACAAATTTGCAGTCTGGACATTCTTCAAGAATGACAGAACAGGGCCTCCCTGTTGGCACAGGCAGTTGAGCACCGCACTGTGAAGCTGTCCTCAGTCTCTGCAGCACAGTTTCGATCCTGGCCGGCCGGCAAGAATCCCACATGGTGAGCAGACCTCTCCTGTCTCACCCCCTGCTCCCCTCAGCAGTGTATTTCGTCAGTCTGCCCGTTCTGTTCCCTGCTCTGTCTCTGGTGAATCCTCTCACCCTCCTGCGCATCTGGCCTGTACCCCAGCACTTGTATAAAGAAAAATTAAATCTTTTAAAAAAAAAAGAATGACAGAACACTGGTAATCAGATGCTCATCTGGGGTGACAGAGAAGGCTTTCAATTCCCAGAAATGGAGAAAAATGGGAGAAAAAGCCAGCGGGCTTTTTCACATGGGCACCATGTTCAAACAACACCATACTGAACTGTTCTCAGGAGAAAGAATACAAAGGTCTCAGGTGCTGAAGTAATTTTTTAACAATCATCAAAGCAGAAGAGTTGTGGGATGGTAATGAGCCTGCTCCCTCTCTGGACTGAACCCAGCTCACTGACAAACTAGCTTTGACACAGCCATTTCAGCTGCCTCTCATCGATCATAATTATGACTACAATCTCATCAGAGAGGATGCCTTTTAAGACTGGGCACTGGGTGGGAAAACCAACTGATAATGCCTGGGTTTGAGCATGAATAACAATACAACATTCAGCACAATGGCGCCAGTGAGACATTTATGGACATCACCCTGGTCCTGGAAACAGTGCCCTATTGCTGTTTTATTTTTCCTTACCATCAACCCTTAGATCACATTTTACCCTTTCTCCCTCTCCTTTTCCTCTTAACCTCAGAAACTTCACTTCTTTATTAATGCCCATAATGTGAGGTCCTCTCTATTGAAGTCTAAAATTTGTCTTTATCATCCTGGCATGCTTTACTGTAGTAATTCCCTCATGCACCTTCCATCTTGCAATAAATGGCAGTATTTCATTTTTCCTTATGGAAATACAGTTCCCATTAGGTGGATATCCAGTTTTCTTGATCCAATCTTTATTGGTGGGTGTTCAGGTTGCTACTTTATAAAGAAACATGTTAAAAGAAATAGTGTTGGGCCTCCCCGGTGGCGCAGCGGTTGAGCGCTGGGTTGCAAAGCTGCCCGCAGCCTCTGCAGCGCCGGTTCGATCCCCGGCTGCTCCCCGGCCACTGGAGGAGGGTCCCACATGGCGCGCAGACCCCTCCTGCCACCCGCTGCTCCCCTCAGCAGTGTACCTCAGTCCTTCTGCCTGCTCTGCTCCCCACTCTGGCTCTGGTGAATTCTCTCACCCTCCCGCGCTTCTGACTGCACCCAGTGCTTGTATAAATAAATAAATAAATCTTAAAAAAAAAAAAGACAGCATTATTTAAAAAAAAAAAAAAAGAAATAGTGTTGAGGATTTGCTGCTTTTGTTAATCCCAAAATACATTGCTGTTATTTTGGCTTTAAATAATTTCTCATTAAAAGACAGTCATTATATATTTTAGGGTTTGTAGGATGTTATAGGTTGAAATATGACCCCCAAATGATATGTCCATAACCAAGCCTCTTGAATCTTTATTGTAAAAATAGTTGAGTACTCATTTCTCCTTTGCATCATCATATATTGGGGCATACAACCACCTGTATTTCCTTGGAGAGGCAGCATCTCCTGGAGTGCAAGCCAGTTAGTTTCACTGATAACTTGGCTTTATAATGGTTGACAAAATGTTATATCTCATACTTTATCTTGCTATTTTCATATTGTTAGTGTGGGTGAGATGCTCATTCCAACTTTCTATATTCTAGATAAATTTGGAATTTTCCAAAATCTTCTTATGATTGATTTGAAAGGTGTTTTGACATCCAAGGCAGCCTTCTATGTACATGTACAAACTCAACCCTTTTTGAAACTTTATAACTATTTCAGCATACTATTCTGATATGCTGACTTTCCAATATACTGTAATATTCAAAATCTGTGAAGTACAGTGATCAATTTATTGATTGTAGTGTAAATTTGAGGTCAGTAAAGATATGATCCTTGAAAAAGACAGGGCAAGAAATCTTTCTTTTGTTGATTTTATTGAAATAGTGTTGTGTGAGACCTTATTTAGTAAAACACTTAATGCTATATTATTGATATTTAATAAATCTTTGTGTGATTGTGCATTAGTATTTTACATGATATGATAAAAGATATATGTTCCATCTCCTTCAAAAGATATATATTCCATCTCCTTTGAAAATTTCTGGCCCAGTTATCTTTGGATTCCTGTAAATTCTCCCAGGAACACAAAAGCTCACAGCTACTTAGACAGTAAACACAGGTAATAGTTCTGGTGAGAAAATATCTTTCTGATTTAAAAATGAACTTATTCTACTACTACTACCTTATAACCCAGACTGGGATAATCAATTTCTATACTGTCATAAGAACCTCTGAGAAAGACAAAGGGGAAGAGAGAGTAAATCTTCTATTTAAAGCCATCAGTGGTTTTCCACTGTCCACATAATAAAGTCTATTCAAACGTACTCTTGTGAGAGTTGCATGCAGTCTCTGATCTGCAGGAATAAGTTGCTATCACAGATGTTATTTTATAATTCTAGTGTTGGAACAAAGTCATGCAGAATTTGCCTTTGCTTTATGAATGAATTACTTGGGTAAAATGCTTATAACACTCTTTTTGATAATCCTTCAATAGAATCTATCAAAACCCCAATTATTTTTTTTTCAGAGCATTCATATTGTAAATTAGCTTCATATGCCAGCTTGTTTTCCTATTTTCAAATCTATGAAATACATTGTCCCAAGTATTTTCTCTGTTTAAGGATTTATAGAACAGAAATTTCTTAGTAGCATACTTTTCAGAGTAGAGAATGGCTGATGCACAAAAAGAATTTTAAACAGTGATTGGAGAGAATTTTGAAATAATACATACATGAGGATTAGTGTAAAATATAAATAACTATGACTTAGAGTTTTTAATGAGTTAAAACATCATTGAAATTATTTGAAATGCCAATGATGATAAGATAATTAACTATGTCTGCCTTCCGCTAAGGGAGACAGTTTAAGACCATCATTTTTACAACTTCATGATACAATCACTTGCATGATCTTTCCATGATGATGACAAAGTAACTTAGTTTTTCAGTTTGCTCTTGATGTTGTTTCATAATTAAGCCAAATTACTGTTCAAATGTAATAACTAAATAATTTCTTTTATTTTTCCTTATCTCATGAACTAATTTACAGTGCTGAAGTAGCAGGAAGCCTCTAAATTTCATTGCTGCTGGGGCATTGCTGTAGTTTATGAATTTGTAGAGAATGATTGAATTAATAATCACATTATTTTAAAAAAGAATGACAAAGACTCTTGGTGGCAATAGCATCCATGCATTTATATAAATAGTCTTTAAGCCTGTGTGTGTATGTAGTATATATGAAGAAGCAGGTACAATTATTTTCCGTCCTATTTCAGTAGAATAAAATTCAGATAACATGCTGTTTTACCCTATTCAGGCTGCTACGATAAATTGTCACAGACTGGGTGGCTTCAGCAATAAATATTTCTCACAATTGTGGGGGCTAGAAGTTCAAGATCAAGGTACTGGCAGCTATGGAGGCCAGTAAGAGTCTGTTCTCTGGCTCATAGATGGATCTTTTGCTGTGTCCTCACACAGAGGAAGGGGTGAGGGCTTCTCTGGGATCATGTTTATAAGGACCCAAACCCTATTCATGAGTTTTTCCCATTTTGACCTATGGGCTCCCAAAGACCAACCTCCCAATACCATCACACGGGGATGGGGGTGAGCTTCCAACATGAATTTTGGGGAATAAAGTATTTAGTAAGGACAAGTAGGAAATTTCAGAACTGTGGTACAAACCCAAACAGCATGGTTAAGAATTGAATCTTTAAAAATTGGCATGTAATCTCCCTATAAATGTGCATGTTTTATCGTATTACGATGTGTGAATATCCTTATTATTTGTTCATACATTTTTGTATTTCAACAAAGGATAAATGTAAGTTCAAATTAATACTTTGCATAGAGCTGACAGTTTAGTTGTCTGTTTGCCCCGAGATTCTTAAAGATCTCCAGGGTGTAAGCTGCATTATATTTATTGATGTATTCCAACACTCATAGTAATACTCAGCCCAAAGTATTAATTTCAAAACAGATAGAAAAATGAATTAGTAGCTCTAAGGTTTTTCATGCAAATTGGGTTCAGACACAGAAAAGCCATTGGTATGTTGTCAAGAGGCCTTAATGAATGCCCATCATGTAGATCTGGAACACCAAAAACAAGTAAGATTTAAGCCATTTTATTAGTTCTAGATTTTCCCTTCTTGGCAAATTTTTGCCACTTTCTTCTCACCTGACAAAGATCTGGTTTCCATTGAATTCTTCTGACCACCCACATGGCCCTGAACTCCCCCTAGAAACTAACACTCCTTTCCAGGAGAGTAAATAACTTACTTCCATAGTGGTAGAAAATGACATGTTTTGTTATATTTAGCTAAGGAGATTTTTTTCCCCTGATTAGATTGTAATGCCTCTGAAAGTTTGGAATAGTGGCACTGTATTTTAAAACCTACTCCTATTTTACCTCCTTGCACATAGTTGGTATTAGTCAATTTCTTACAATGTAGTGTTCAATTAATCTTTAGAGGTAAACATTGTGAAAATGTAAAAAGTATAGTTTAATATGAACAAAGATAGGCATTATGATGAAATGTGAATGAAAAAGAAAATGTGACCCATAGGTGGTGAAGAATATCCTATATGAATTTCATAGAATATCTCTTAGTAAATGTAGTATAAAAAAATTGGCCCATTGATTAAAATAAATTGGATCTATTGCTCATAATAGCATCTCATTGATTGAAAAGCACTCCTTGTAATAGCTTCCTTCAATGTAGCATCTGTCATGCATTAACCTTTCAGCCTTCATGGTCATGTGAAAAGAATTTCTTGCTTAGACTACTGGTCATATGACCCCATCCATGACATTTAATTAATTGCATCTATTGAACATAGATTTGGAATTTTCTAAATATAGGGAGAAACTCATTACAAAAGCCAGACATTTCCCAATATATTGTATAATAGAATTTAACCCTATGATCTGTATCCCTGGAGATATTTTAGCAAACATATTTATCTCTGATAAATATATTTATACAAATAGACAAGTAAGTTTTATAAATATATAGTAAGTTTTAAATTTTAGACTAGGTATTGTTCACATTGAGATATATTTAGAAGAAATATATACTCAAAGTTGCACTTTTAAAATGCTATAATTATTAATCTCATCCTAAAAGATGAGTCAAAATTATACCAAATTCTGTACATGGAAAAGTTAATACACAAAGAAAATAAAGGTTTTTTCTAAACACTAGACAACCATTCACACATTTGAACAAATAAATAGGAAAATAGGTGGGTATTTTATCATAGGTAATCTTTATTATTATGCAAACTATAAGCAAATTTCTGTTATAAGTAAGACAAAAGATAGAATTAAAAAAATAAGGGCCTTCTCAGTGGCCCCAGGGGTTAAGACACAACCTGTGAAGCTGTCTTCAGCCTCTGCAGCACCAGTTTGATGCCCCGCCAGCTAGGGAGCAACCCACATGGTGCAGCAGACCTCTCCTGACTTGCCCACTGCTCCCCTCAACAGTGTACTTCAGTCAATCTGTCTGTTCTGTTCCCCACTCTGTCTCTGGTAGATCCTCTCACTGCCCGCCCCTGCACCCCCAGTTCTTGTATGAATAAATAAACAAATCTTTAAAAAAAAGAATTAAAAAATAAGCATATTTGCAGTTTTTAAGAAAATAAGTACACAATTTACTATTCACTTAGAAGATCAAAATCATGAAATATGGCAATTACATGAAACAAAAGTCTATACCTTTTTATGCCATTTTTCAAGAGGATAAATGACCCATACTATTGAATGTTATATTTTTATGTAATTACTTTAACTCTTGCAGAAGTAAAATTAATGATTAGCATTTAATTCAGGTTAGAATTTTATTCTGAAACTAAGTAAAAAAAATTTTGTAGAAAATTCTTAAAAGGAGTTTAGGAGCACTCAGGTACAATCAACTCTATTCTTGTGACTGTTTTTGCATTAATGTATCCACTCTCTTGCAAAGTAAGTTTTAATGAATTCACAAGTTTGCAAATGATTGCTGATCTTAATGGAAAAATAATTTCAAAGAAAATCCTCAGCTATTCAAATGTCACTCATAAATTTAGCAGAATTACAATAGAAGAGATAAACAGAAAGCTGAGGTCATAAAGTTTATCTACAAACTTGATAAAAATGAATCCATTAGAATTGTAGAGGATTCTGATTATGGGCTTGCCCTGCGTGTGGCAAAATGCTATCGCTGATAATGTCTTCTCTGGCACTTCTGTAATTTATGGCCATATCTATTCCTGTCATGCCCAAACATAATCTTGTCTGGATAGAAGCAAACAAGTCCTTGAAAACTGAAATAATCAGGAAAATTATTTTGACTGTAAAATTAAAAATATATATATCTGATATATATTTTCACTGACTTGATATTTGGTTTAAATAGGTATCAGAAAATATTTGATTCAATCAACAGAATGATTGTTATGGGTTGAATGGAAATAAGCCAAACATAATTCACAACCATTAAGAAGGGATAAATTTAATAGTCGATGATAATCATATTTCTGTCTACTATTTATAATACTTATAATACTTATACCCCTTACCATATTTAGTTATTTTTCTTCGCTTTTTTTCCCTGCTATTATAAAACTTCTAAATGGCCCCACTGAAAAGTCTACTATCATTGCACATATGAAGTCTACTACCTATTCATCATTTATTCTAAGAATGTTCAACAACAATAACAATGATAGCTAGTAGTTATTTAGCACTTACTATGTGTCAGCAGTTGTTTTAAGGGCTTTACATACACAAATACAATTAATTCTCAAAATAGTACTAGGCAGTGGGTATAATTATTGTCCATATTTTACAGTTGAGCAAACAAAAGCATAAAGATTTAATCACTTGCCAAGAATATACAACTAGTATGGTAGATTGAACAATTTAAAAGCTACTATCTCTACAACAGAAAATAATTCCCAATAAAACATATTTTATAAATGCATTGTTACAGTCACAGGAAATCCGCAGTGTATGTCTCTAAGCTTCCTCTCCTCCACACATCTCATACCTGACATCTTCCATCTACATAAATATATAAAGGAAGAAGCTTAAGACAGAAAATAAGATCAGAAGGGAAAAAGTAGAAACCAAATGCAAGAAGCTATACTGAAAGTACATGCCGATGTAATCAATATGATCAATCGACCAGACTCTTAACCATGAGTGGGAGAGCTGAGTCTGACATTCTTGCGTTGCATTTCTTTCATTTCTCTAGGTAATTGGAGGTAGACATTTTAACAAGTTCTGAAAGAAGATGGATCAGCTGCTGATCTCTGAAGAAAGAAGAGAAGCTGAAGACCCCTGCAGACCTGGCTATGGCACTTATTAACATATGAATAGAGTTCAAAATGACTAGAAATCAGGCATATGCAGATAGAGACTCAAAAGAAATTTCATTTCACACTCACTGAATTGGCAATATTTATGAAATATGATAATATAAATTCCTATAGAGGAAATGGATCAATGGAACGCTTGTGCACCACTGGTAAGCATTCAAATTGGTAAGATTTGAAATAATTTGAGATTCTCTTGTAGAGTTAAATATTTGATTTTCTGTATTCTAGCAATTGCATTCCTGTGTGTGTCTTGTGGAGACTGTTGCACAAGTGCATCTAAAATTATTTACTAGAATGGTCACAGCTATACCACTAAGAAAATAAATCTGGAAACAAAGTAGGTATTCATCAACAAAGAATGCATAAATAATATGGTATAATATAGATTTCTACTGGTCACTTTTATACAGCAAAGAAAATGACCCCAAACCACACATAATGTGGTCTTAGACAACATTCAGCAGAAAGTAAAATTTCAGAAGACTACAGTCAGGTAATATTTTTATAGACTTCAACAACATAATACAATCTAAATGATACTTACATTGCACACACATGTAAGAAATCTGTATAAAAACGAATGACCCTGGGCCATCCCGGTGGCGCAGCGGTTGAGCTCTGGGCTGCAAAGCTGCCCACAGCCTCTGCAGCGCCGGTTCGATCCCCGGTCTCCTGCGAAGGTCCCATATGGCGCGCAGACCTCTCCTGCTGCACCCACTGCTCCCCTCAGCAGTGTACTCCGGTCCTTCTGCCTGCTCTGCTCCCCGCTCTGGCTCTGGTGAATTCTCTCACCCTCCTGCGCTTCTGTCTGTATCCAGTGCTTGTATAAATAAATAAATAAATAAATCTTTAAAAAAAAATGAATGACCAACACACAATTCAGATGGTGGCTCTGGGTAAGAGAGAATGTGATGGGACAGGAGGAAAAACACAGGGAGTGATAACCACATGATAATGTGCCCTGGAATTCAGTGCGAGCTTCATAATTATCCATTTTGCTATTGTGGGCTTCCCTTGTGGCGCAGGAGGTTGAGCACCATACTGTGAAGCTGTCCACAGCCTCTGCAGCGTGAGTTTGATCCCGGCCAGCCAGTGAGGGTCCCACATGGCGCCACAGACCTCTCCTGACTCGCCCGCTGCTCCCCTCAGCAGTGTATTTTGTCAGTCTGCATTTTGTCAGCCTCTTCTGTTCCCTGCTCTGTCTCTGGTGAATCCTCTCACCCCTCCCACCTCCCCCCCCACACACATCTGGCCTATACCCTGGTTCTTGTATAAATAAATAAATCTTTAAAAAAAAAAACCACATTCCTCTGGCTCGCGATCGCTCGCCTCCTGGCTTCACCGCTCCTGGCTGGCGGCCAGCTCTCAGAGCGCCATTTTGGGATTCCTGATCGGCGGATCGGACATTTAACCAAGAGGGGGCGGAGCAACATGGCGGCGAGGAGACGCTGCGAGTAAGATCTCCCATTAAAAAAAGTGAATAGGGAGGAAAAGCGGCAGGTCCCAGTGAGAACTGGGACACGGAAGATAAACGGGTGACGCCAGCGAAGTGCCCGAAGAAGAAACTGGCCATAAAAGAGGACTAGAAGGGAGGGAAGCGCAGAACCCTGCTCCCCTCCCCCGCCCACAGAGGCGGCACTCTCCGACCCGCAGAGAGGAGGAAACAACACACCAAAACGGCCCACAAGAACAAACGACGCAGCAAGCGGGACTGTGAGTGGAAAGGAACTATTGCAGCCACCACACCCCGTGAACGGGAGCTGAGGCGAACCCTGCAGGATCCACCACGGCGGTGAGCGAACGGCTCCGGGCGCCAATAGAGAAGAACAAAGACCCCGGGAGATGCACACACAGCCCAGGCTGCCGGTAAGCCTGCACGGGAAAGCGGCGCGCTCAGCGTGCTTGAAAAGCAAGTGCAGACCTGGATCGCGGCTGCCCAGGTCCCCGCGCCTGTGACCTAGGCTTGCGGGGAGACGACCTAGGCTTGCGGGGAGACGCACGGAGGTCCTCACTGAGGTGAAGGTCCCTCCCTGAGTGAGCAGGAACCAGGCGCCCAGGCACGGGAGCGGTGCAAAAGGCGCCATTCCCGCGCCACTGAACTGGGCTACAGCCCGCGTCCTGGAACTGAGGGCTTTGAACTGAGACCTGGGGCACGAAAATTCGGGGCGTGGTTTCTCCACGACGGTGGGGCACAAGGCAGACACAGCACCCCAAAGCTGTTGAGGTGTACCCTACCATTCCCGCTCTGTTCTCTGTCCCACGGGGTGGGGGGAGGCGAAAAACAGCCCCCCAAGGACAATAGGAGAGATCTCTGGCGCCACCTAGCGACCAGGAAAAAAAAAGTCACTAACACCCTATAAAACAGGACATTTCTTAAGACTGCTTGAAAAGGGCAGAAGGTTTCTGGAGGACCCAGTGGCCAGCCGGGAAGTTATTCCACGCCAGGCCCCTTCCGACCAGCAGTCTGAGCCCACAGAGGGAGCAGGCACCCACGTCCGGGGCAGACCGGGTGCGCAGAAGAGTGTGCCTGAAACCGGAGGCGCAGGGACTGCATCCCGCTTCGCCATTTGAGAACAGGGACATTTCTTCAGTAAAAACTGCCTAAAACCAGCAGAAAGCTCCCCCAGAGACAGAGATGGCTCCTGGAAGAGCCAGAGGGGAGCGGAGAAGTTCACCCAAGATGTCAGTCAGTCCGAGCAACACAGTGTCCCAACGCATACGACAAATTAGAAAACAGACAGTAGGGAGTAGAAGAACCACACGCAACCTAAAAACTCCTCAGGAAAGAAGCACACCACAAAAAGAAAACCACTCCCCAGATTGCAACGACAGCAACTTGGAAGAACTTCTGAGCCTTCCAGAAAGAGAATTTAAAATTGCCATGATTAAAAAAGTGATAGATCAGAAGAAGGAAATTGAGTCCCTAAAGAGGGAAGTAAGAGAAATGCAGGAGATCAAAGAATTAATGGAGGAACTAAAGAACTCTGGGAAAAGCAATGAAAGCAGAATAGATGAAATGGAAGAACGAATAAGTAATCTTGAAGACACAGAAATAAAAAGAACCAAAACAGAAAAGGAAGAGAAGTACGAAGGAAAAAGAATGAAGAAAGACTTCGGGAACTATCTGACTCCATGAGGAAAGGAAATATAAGAGTTATAGGAATTCCAGAAGGAGAGGAGAGAGATGTAGGAACAGAGAAAATATTCATGGATATAATTGAAGAGAACTTCCCAAATGAGAAGAAGGAGCTGAAAATTGATATACAAGAAGCAAGAAGAACACCAAACTTCCACGACGAAAGGAAAAAACACAGCAAGACACATAATAGTAAAGCTCCCAAGAATCCAGGACAAGGAAAAAATAATGAAGCTGACAAGAGGGAAGAAGAAACAGATAACATTCAAAGGAAAACCAATCAGGCTGACATCAGACTTCTCTGAAGAAACACTACGGGCAAGGAGTGAGTGGAGGGACATAGTCAACAGACTCCAAGAAAACAGATGCCAACCAAGAATACTCTATCCCGCAAAGCTCTCTTCCTCCATGAAGAAAGAATATGGACCTTCCCAGACAAAGAGAAACTCCGGAATTTCATTGCGACTAAACCCCCACTCCAAAAAATACTACAAGGAATCCTAAAGCCAGAACTCAGAGGGACGAATAACAACGAAAGAAGAGCCAAAAAAAAAAAAAAAAGTTATTAAAAGAATAAATAAATAAAATCAAAGGAAAGACAAACATAATGGCAAATACAGATGCTAACATATCAATATTAACTCTAAATGTAAATGGACTAAACTCTTCAATAAAAAGACACAGAGTTGCAGCCTGGATTAAGAAACAAAACCCAAACTTTTGCTGTCTCCAGGAAACACATTTAGCTACAAAAGATAAAAATAGGCTCAAAGTCAAAGGATGGAAAACAATCCTACAAGCAAATGGGCCAAAAAGAAAGCCAGGAACAGCTATACTTATATCAGATAAAACAGACTTCAAACTCAAAAAAAATAAAAAGAGACCCCAATGGTCACTACATTATGATTAAGGGGACAATACTTCAAGAAGAAATAACACTCATTAACATATACTCACCAAACGAAAGAGCACCAAAATATATCAGACAACTGTTGTCCTCTCTGAAAACAGACATCAGAGAAAACACATATGTAGTGGGAGACTTCAACACACCACTATCAAACAATGGATAGATCAACAAGACAAAAATAAGTAAGAAACTAAAGCTCTAAATAAGGACCTAGCATTTGGGCTTAACAGACATCTATAGAACACTAAACCCAAAAAAAACGGAGTACACATTTTTCTCAAGCACACACGGATCATTCTCCAGGATCGATCACATACTGGGGCACAAGACAAACATCAACAGATACACCAAGATTGAAATCATACCAACCATCTTTTCTGACCACGAAGGCATCAAACAGAAATAAATCATAAAAAGAAGGCAAGGAAACTATCCTACCTCATGGAGATTAAAAGCCACACTACTGGAAGACCACTGGACTACGAGGAGATCAAAGAAGAAATTAAAAAATTCTTTGAATTGAATGACAAGGAGGACACCAATACTCCTAAATGTATGGGATGCAGCAAAGCAGTAATAAGAGGGGAAATATATAGCAATAGAAGCTCACATCAAGAAACAAGAAAGAACTCAAAGAAACAAACCTAATCTCGAAGCTCAAAGATCTAGAAAAAGAACAACAAAAAAACCCCAGAACCAGTAGAAGAAAAGAAATAATAAAAACCAAAGCAGAAATAAATGAAATTGAAACTAAAAAACAATCCAAAAGATCAATGAAACCAAGAGCTGGTTCTTTGAAAAAAAATAAATAAAATAGACAAACCCCTAGCCAGGCTCACAAAGGAAAAAAGGGAGAAAGCACAAATACACAGAATCATAAATGAAAGAGGAGAAATCACAACGGACACAGCTGAAATAAAAAGAATAATCAGTAACTACTATGAACAGTTATATGGAAACAAGTTCAACAATCTAGAGGAGATGGACAAATTCCTACAACTCTACAATCACCCAAAAGCTAGATAAAGAAGAAATAGAACACCTAAAACAGACCAATTACAAGCAGCGAAATTGAAAATGGTAATCAAAAACCTCCCCAAAACAAAAGCCCAGGACCTGATGGATTTACAAATGAATTCTACCAAACATTCAGAGACGAATTAGTGCCTATCCTCACAAACTCTTCCAAAAAATTGAGAAGGAAGGGACAATACCAAACACGTTCTATGAAGCCAATATTACACTAATACCAAAACCGAATAAGGACAACACAAAAAAGGAAAAAACTACAGGCCAATCTCCCTAATGAACACTGATGC